AGAACTTGTTTGCAGTCTCATGCAACTATGATCAATATATGTAGTTCTAAGGAGATGGTCGCTTAGTGAGCCATTTTCTTCAATAAAATGATAAAATGGGTAACTTAATACTCTTGTTATGGTAATCATATAGAAGAAATTGCCTACTGTAACAGCATATTATTGAAAGGCCCCGTTCTCGAAGTCTGTGATATTAAATTAGGTGTTCCTGGAAAAGAATTGGGGACTGACTGACTGCATATATCAATATATCTTTTATCTTTAATGCATGTTTGGTACATCTTACCAACCAGCAATCAGAGTAAAGAACAATGCAATTTATATTCCACTTTCAAATGTTTTCCGAGTGTTTTTCTCTTCGTACTCTCAATCACCATGTGTTTATGTCTTCAGAGTGTGAGCATGCCTTTCTATGTTTAACAACTTCTGAAACCACGAAGGGCCTAGAATTGGCATCTGATTTTGTTTCTGTATAGGATGTTTAGAGGTGGTAATTTTGATGTAATTTTGGGTTAAGGGTCGAAGTTCTCTTAGTCTCAAAATTGATTTGAAAGTCTTTTATTTCTATCATAGTGTGTGTCTATAATGTTGTCTAACTCGAGTTTTCTTAATTTGCAGTTACTTATGTGCAGTCGAATACTGGTGGATTCACTATCTTTGGATGGATGGTTGATCGAATGCTCATCAACACGATTTTCTTCATTGAGCTTTCACTGGTTTTCTTTGTCCTCGGGAAGACTATCACAATCACAACTAGATGACAAAATGCACCCACGCCCACCCGCACTTTCTGAACGGGGGCAGCTAAAATAGTATGATCACTATTAATAGCTGTGTATTGTAACATCTACGACTTTGCATAAAGCAACATACTTCTAACTGATGCTCTTATTTAGCATCTCACAGAAGGATTTTATGTAAGACTGATCTGTGAAAATGTTACTGTTTTGCTAATGATCCAACTGTACTCGACTAAACGGTCTCTTGTTCTTGTGCAAAGACCCCTTGCATCAAGGTTTGCTTGTTAAATGTGTTGCTCGGCCTTATAATTTGATGGACCTTCAGTTACTGTGGAAATAAGCACAGAACAAAGTAGGATCGGGCAAAACTTTCGAACAGGACCCGAATTGAATCGAGCGGTTCTTTTTAAACTAAATACCCAAATGGGCATCTGAATCGAGAATTGATGGGTTCGGTCCGATTCAATTTTAGATCAAGAATCGAAGAATCGAATCTTTCTAATTTTTTTTAATATATTCGTTTTAAGTAAGTCAAATTATTTTATTTTTTCCTAAATAAATTTATTAATTAGTTAATTTAGCTCAAATTCAAAAATATTATTTTCCTATTTCTATTTTCTGTCCAAGCCTAATTAACATAAGTTTTACCCAAATATGTTATTCTACAGTAATGTTGTTTTTATCGTTTTGGAGAAATCGAATTGAAGTTTGACAGTGTCTCCCATAATTATTGTGAGTTCGCTATTTTCCCCTCCCTGTGATTTTAACAATTATATGAAGAACTTAACAAGAAAAACGCAAAAAATACATAAGATTGACTACGTTACTTTGTAAGAGCGAAGATTGAACATGTCATTATTTGAATTAATGTAACTTTATAAATATTACAAAAATTAATTATAGTACGAAATCGAGGAATCGAATCCGGACGGTTCCATAATTAAATTTGGACCCAATGATTCTACTTACTACATACTCGAAAATTTCGGGCCCGATTGCCTAGCCCTATCACAAAGCTTCTTTCTAGGTAAACTTATTTTACATTTTTTGTTGCACATATATATCTTGCCAATGTGTTGTTCAATTGATTGTCACAAACTGAGTTACTGAATACTCGGTAAGCTTGAAATGGTAGAAAGATGCAAGGTCCATTATTGGTCTGCGTGCACGGTCCTATCGTGCTTGAATGGAGCAGTAGGGCCAACAATTCTTCAACTTTTAGGTTGAAGAAATCACTAGGCTATGCACCTCACCTCTCTTTCTTACCTGATACTACAAATTTTTTTGTTACCTACTATATAAATCTCTTCTATAGTACTCAACATTTGGAAAAATCTCATCAAAATAGGTTAAAGATTCTCCCCTAACTCAAGTCAGGGTGGGCAAACACCTTTTGGAGTTGACGTGCTTCCTTGGTTGCAAGAATTTCTTCTCTATTCTGCGCTCTCTATCCCTATTTTTTGAGGTTCCCATGAATCATTAATATTTGTGTTCGCTAAATTCCAACCATCCTTCTTTCATGGATATAATTAATATTCCTCTCGCTATGCAAAGTTAATTAAAAAAATAAAAAAATAGTACAAATAGTGTGTTAAATCAACTCGACTCCATTTTATTAAATTGGTCAATTCATGACATAGTCCATGATGTTGAATAATTCAGGTACATTGATTATCTCTAGTTAGAGAGGACTCGTGTCTTCTACTAAACCCTATTGATGTGCAAGCATGTATAATAATGTTACGTAGGATCACTGATGCTTAGGTTTAGGTGGCAGTGATGACATACGTTAAATAGTTTCTTTGTTCTTGTACAAAGATTTTTTGAAAAATTGTGTGATTAAAAAGTAGAGAAAAATTATGAAAAATGTGAAAAACAATTTATTTTTTATTATTATTATTGTTTTTTTTTTTTTTTTTTTTTGGAGAATGTGTGATTGAGAATGAATGTGGAGGAAAAAGTAATTTTGGTAAAAAAAAAAAGAAAAAGAAAAAATTCAATTTCAAACCAGGGCTTTATCTTTTGGTGTGTTTAAAGAAAGACACAACATTAATTAGTAAAAAGATCTTGTTAAAATTTGCTTTTCTTAAAAGGGAAAATTGTATTAAGAGTCTTTAATTTATTTTTCACATAACATGTTAGTCTTCAATTTGAAAAACTAGTAAATTGGTTTCCAACTTTCAATTCTAATTGAAATCATTCTCCAATAGTGAAAATGGTCTAAAGTTTTTTAAATTATATGAAGTTAGATCTAAATTTCTAATTTGGACTAGTATTTGAAATTTTGAAGTAAAACATTTCAACAAAATATTTATCATTTTCTATCATTTGGATACTGATGGTGCAATCTCCCTTGTACTTAGTAACATTTTTGAGCTAAGATCAAATCTATTGTCTCGAAGATGTTATCCTGCCAATATATTTTTGACATTTGACATATCATCTTTTCATATCAAATTAGAATATACAAAAGCGTCAAAATTTGTGTATGGCACCTTTCCGTTTCTATAAAGAGGTAATGTATCGAGATATAAAAAATATATTGATTAAACGATCAAAAGAACAATAGCCTCAAGACAACATATCTTGGCTCCTTTAAGCTTACCCGAACATGCCATTTGACATCAGATTACTATCCTAACAAATTGCGATTCCCGAGGTAGGCACAACATTCAAAGTCAATCCACAAAATCCATTATCACAATGGAAGTGGATTATTATCCACAATCTAAGTGCCCAATTTTGCGAGTTTTCATGCCATGCATGTAGTTCTAGGAATTTTTCTATTTTTGAGTGATTTTCCATACGTATTTCACTTATTTTCTGCCATCTTTTTCTCTTCCCATTCCTATACAAAAATCTGAGGTTTTATGGGAGTTATGGGAGTTGTAGATTTGAATCAAATTCAAATCACTCCCTTCAACCCTTTTAATAGCTTGTGGGTCGGGTCATTCCACATGGGGGACCTACGACCATAATTTCTAACACATTGCATCAGAACAAAATTTTCCACTTAGAATCAAGATAAGATAATGTGTGGTTCATGACTTTAGAAGGTCAAATTATTCATTATTTCTGAGAAAGTGCAGAATAAAACTACCTATTGCTGAATTCTTCTCTTGAAAAGTAGTTAAAAATAGTTTCCATTATCAAGGTTACAAAAAATATAAGATCTTTTCATAATATTGATATCTGAGACATTTTACATAAATCAAGCCAATTTAATCTAAGCTTTTCATTCTTATTCCATATTTTCTTTCTACGGTTCAACTTAGTACACAAAGTGTATACAACTAGTTTAATCCAATCGATTTCCATGTTGTGCTTTCAAATGCTTTTAAAAGGATAATACAACATCCAAAAAGACGCTTTTCGATTAGTCAGGAGAGAGAGAGAGAGAGGG